TGTATGAATGTATGTATGTATGTATGTATGTATGTATGTATGTATGTATGTATGTATGTATATATCTATCCGCCTTGGTGTTTCGTTCCACCTCCATCCCCAGTACTCACCCTGGGCCGGCGAGGCCTCGGCCCCTTCCACCACACTGCCCACTCGACTCACAGGCGCATTATCGTCAATACGCCCAGAGTCTGGCTGGGCCATACCCATTCGTTGAGCGTCTTGGGTATTTGCGTAGGGATGTGTGTGTATGCCTGTGGGTGTGGGCTCGGGTGAGGGGGCGGGGGGCGCCTGTGGATAGCCGAGTAACCGCATGATGTCTCCGCGTTTGTCGTCACTGAAGCAGGCCTGGAGCGCCAGCCACACCTGGGGGAATTAAAAACATACATTGTCGCAAACTGTGGAGTCAGTGAGGGATGGGATGGTTGCACGGCAAGCACATAATATGCGACGGAAGTAAAAGGCAACCCTGGACCAGCCAATGTGGTGAGAGCAGGAGAGGGCCATTGCGTAGCTTTAAAGTCAGCCTCTGATGGTTGTGAAAGGCTTTCACACACAGAAAAATGTTGAATTGTAATTATTGTCCGCTTTTTATGCTTGTGAAACGCTTTCACACACATATGAACGTGGAGTGTTTCTTGTTGTGGTATCGTCAGTGACTTGCACTGAGCTGCCATTACAGGACTTAGGAGATCGACTGTACGTTCTCAACATCGTGCTAAGGCATCACCAGTAGCGCAATAGGTATGTGAGAGTTCTAAAAGCACAACGAGAGGCTAGCAGTGCTCATTGGTTGTACCTACCAGGCAGTAGAAGTGCTACACAGTGCAATGTACTACAGCAAACACGAAGCATTTGTATTCCATATATGGGACACACGCAAACAATCAGCAAGCCAGACGGATTCTATTTATGGAACCTCGGTCAATAGTATAAATCTAGGGCCTCCAAGAAATCAATCGAAAGTGCTCAAACAGCGGATATAAACAGTGTTTCACGCAAATCAAATGTGCCAAACTCGGATAAAGATGGCAATACATGCAATACATGTGCTTACATATACAAAAGCTATCCAACACAGACGATGTAGCTTGTGTGTAAAACACCAGGCGTGAAAAGGCAGACGTGCTTGTAAAAGTGTGTGTACACAAGGTCTGCCGCCAGAGTCACTGGTGAT